TTCTCCAACAGGTCGCAAACTACAACCCTCATTCGGATAAAGTCTGCTATACTATTATTATCATCTCAGCCCCTAAGCCATGCTAAATGTTTTACACGCTTGAATCTGGTGTCTGAACCCTTTCGTCCTGCTACCATCCCATTTTAATAATTCTTTACCACAAAAGTGAATTCCATCACAAATTGACAACATCCCCCTGCTGCCCAACTGTTTGCGACATTCTTCCTCTCTTAGCCAATTATTCTCAAAGTAGAATTTTCTTGGGGTCTTCCCATGCACCGTAAGCTGTATTTTCAAATGTAAAGCCATGTGATCACTCGACGGAGCTTCAACCGAGTTTGCTCTGGCTTCCATAAACATATTCCACCATTGATCATTAACAAGGATACGACCCGACTTTTCTTCTACTCCATACAAAACCTTAGACCGGTTCCATGTCAATTGATAACCCTCAAACGGGAAATCACGTAATCCACTAGATGAAACTGCTTCTTGAAAACCCCTAATCTGCCACACAAGATGAATAACTCTTCCTTTCTTTTCTGAATCGTAAAGAATATCATTCATATCCCCCATAACTAACCAGGGGAGCGTATTGTTAGAAGCCAGCCTTTTCAGAAGATCCCACGCAGCTCTTCTCCTAACTGCCTCCGGATACCCATAAAAGCTTGTAAACCTCCAAGTCGCCCCTCTAGTCATCAAGCATGCCTGACAGTCGATAAAGTTGGATTCCATGGCAATAATTGATATATCCACTTCTTCATTCTAGACGATCACAATACCCCCACTCTGACCTGCTGAATCACAACCTTTTGATTTAGTATACCCCAATGATCGAAGGATCTCTTTCACACGCTGGCAGCTGAACTTCGTCTCCATTAGAAACACAATCGACGGTCGGTTTTGCTGCACAAGGTTTATACCGATTTTTTTCAAGTAAATGCATTTATACCGATTGTTTTTTGTTTTCTTCAATATCACTAGGGTCGTGTGTGACCTCTCAAGATAGGATGCACATGTATAATTCGTTGCAAGCCTCGATGTAAGCTTTTGTTAGTTTATTCGTGTATAATTCGCGTATAATACGCTCAAACGTATAATTCACGTATAATACTCCCGTTTATGAATTTTTCAAAAAATTCGGAAAAATTCGCGTACTTTAAGGATAAAATGTATAATACACGTACCGTACGTATTGATACGTATTTTATTCCCGTATAATGCTCTCGTTTATGAATTTTTCAGAAAATTCTGGAAACCTCACGTACTTTAAGCATAAAATGTATAATACACGTACTGTATGTATTGATACATATTTTATTCAAAAACACACACCATTAAACGCAAGTCTAATGTAGTGATACCATTGAAACGAAATGTTTAGCTGCTCAATATTATTTATATTGCTTTAAAAATTTATGCCTTATATGTTCGTTAATTGTTTCATAGTCATTACATTTAATAAATTAGCTTCTTAAATTCGTAATCCTTTTCAATACTACTATTGTACTACTACTGTATTACTTTTGTTCTCCACCCATACCAAGACTCCAAAGAGATCGAAAAATGTTGTGGCGGCTCACCAAACTCACAATCACAGTAATATCAACTATTCTCTAATAATATCCCTCTACTTCTACTCAAATAGGCAATGTCATTTTTATTACAATATTACTTATTGTACTTATGTGTTCAAATCTGTATATGAAAAAATTATTCCGTACATTTTAAATTGTTGAAGAATGTGGTTCAAATGCTAAATAACTTTTTATTTCTATCATTAAATTAGTATACTATATGCCGTATTTTTAAATTGTGAAACGTTTAAAACGCGTCCGTATCTTTATATATTTCACGAACGTATGAAACATATATTAAGCCGTATTTTATATAATTGTATCGTATTATACACGAACGTGCGTATTATTGTATTATTCACGAACCGTATATTAGTAACAAAGGATGTAAGTACTGTTGTCAACCAATATCATTATTTTTCCCCTATCATGTACGGAGTATTAATTAAGGGTTGAGCAATGATTTGAGGTTCTTTCTGATTTTTTTTGAGTATTTATGCGATGTTATGATGGATATAGTGATCTTAGATTTTCTGGAAGTTATTGAATGTAATAATTAAGGTGAGTTAATCAAATTAATTTATTATGGCCGAAATTGGGATTTTTGTGCAATAGTTGTTTTGAATTGGAAAATTGTGAAATTATTTTGGTGTGAATTAGTTTATGTTAAGAGCTTCTGCTCGCGTGTTTATATACAAATATATTCTGAATTTAAAGATATCCTAATTGTATTATTTTGATAATGGTATTGAATATTATTTTTGGAGAGGTGGTTTCGATTATACCCGATATTTGGACAGTATTTCGAGATCGGGATAAATGTAGGGTACTTGGTTAATGGTCTAGGGCTTATACTATGTGGTGGATTTTTATGTGATTCCGCTCTGGTTATCAATCTAAATATGTATTGATGTAATCATCCCCGCCACAACAAAACTGACTTTTTATACACTATTTGCAACACAATTTTTGTGTTACGTATAACATATAAGTTTAAGATTCAACAACAGTTGTTAAGAAATGTTGCATAGTTATCGGAATTATATAAATACGCAACACTTAGACCATTTGTAGTGATAGAAGATTAGGATTTCAGAATGTTAAAGTTAGAGATCTTGGACTCCTAATTTAAATGGGGGCTTAAAAATGAGAAAAGAGATGGATGCAGTTAAAAATAGAGGATGGGTTGATAGTGGGGAAGAAAAAGGAAAAAGAAATGAAAAAGGGAAAGGGGGAGGCGGACCACACATAGCGTTGAAGTGGGATGACATTATTTCTGCGTCATTATAACCCCTATTTTTAAAAGGGTTTTTACAAGAATATTACTAAATTAAATAAAATATATTTACATAAATATGACTATTCATTACTATAATGTGGTGTTGTGGTAACATAAGCTCAAAACTTGAACATGAATTACTATGATTTCATTACTACTCTAATCACTAGTCATATTTTTGTAAATCATCTTTATTTTGGTCATATTTATGTAATTATTTCTTTTTTAAAACTCTTATAACTGTTTTATTTGTTCTCCATTTTTTGAAAAAATATATAAAAATTCATGAATATTTACATCCTTCATATGACACCAATATGTAACATATAAAATAAAAAAATATATCAGAAGATTTAATTGTTGGAGTTTTCGTGAGCCTAAAAACATGAAACACAAAATTTTAATCCTCTGCGCCTCCACGAATAACTGAATATTCCATAATCAAACTTTACTTGAACTAAGTTCATTTTTTGTTCAATGAAAAACATTTAAAAAGTAATGAAATTCATTTATTGTACATCAAAATGTGTTTTTTAATTCATAATTATTCAGGGACAAATTTTAAAGGAAAACATTACTTATAATAATTTAACTAGTGTTTCACTAGATTGTTATGTAAAAAAATATGCTTAGTTTATTTTATTGACGATGCTCAAATGCAGAAAAATATGAGTCTAAACGTTGTTTTCATATGAACGAGTCTATTTTTGACATTTTGGCCTCCCCGTCACTACAAATGATCTTAAATGATCTTATTACTAACATTTACATCCTCTCTCCAATAAAACTTGTGATTGAGATTTATGTAACAAATTGAGAATTGTGTGGAATCAAAATTCTTTACTCCGTATTTGAAAAGTTTGCAAAATTTTAACGGAGCAAGTCTCTCTTGGGCATTGCAGACTCCCATTCCCGCTTCTTTTTTGCGCGCTACATTAAACATTTCGATCTATCTCTCTAGATAGCCCTAAGTCCAGATTAGGGGTGCAAACAAGCCGAGCCCGAATTTATGTAAGCTCGAGCTTGAATTATATTGTATTGGCTCGAGCTCGAGTTCGGCTTGAACGAGCTTAAAAAATCCGGGCACGAGCTCGGCTCGCAAATATTGATTCGGCTCGATTTGGCTTGACTTGGCTCGGTTTGGCTAGATAATTTTGGTTCGTTTAAAAGTTACAAGTTCGATTAGCTCGAAAGTTCGTGTTCGAACTCGAGCTCAAGTATGAAACAATCTTTAAATATTTGTGCTTAACATTTGCAAATTGTAATTTACATGTCCAATAACTAAACCTTACGGGAAAATAAACAAAATACAATTCTAACTTCAAGTCTCATCTCCACCCAATTGTACTTGTAATATAAATCAAAAGTGGTCAACCCGTTAAGAAATAGTGGATGAAACTTTGATTATTTTTGTTAAATTACTTTATAATTAATAATATCTATCTGCGCGGTCCTCATATACATTTATGAATCAGTATTATATATATGTGTGTGTGTGTGTGTGTATTAATTTGTAAAAAACTAATTTATACTTCCTCCGTTCCTTTTTAATTGCAACAATCAACATTTCACGTTGGCAAAACACAAGTTTGACCATTAATATCTTTCATTCCTTATTAGTAAAAAAAATTAAAAATTTCATATTTTGAAAATTTAGAATGAGAAGAATTTAACAATATTTTTTAAAAATTTAATTTATAATACATTAATAAATAAAATATAGTCAAAGTAGAATATGTGAATAATGCAAAAAATCTATTGTTGCAATTAAAAGAGAACGGATGTAATATTATATATTACATATACTCATATACACTCTGTATTATATATTAATTTGTATTGTATATTAATATATTACACACACACACACACACACACACACACACACACACACATATATATATATATATATATTAAATACTCCGTATACACACAGATAACTAGGCTCGCGAGCCTAAAATCAGTAAGCTCGTTTATGGTTCGACTGCTTAACGAGCCGGCTCGAGCTCGGCTCGAGCTCGAGTTTTACCGATCTCGATCCGAGCTTTGACCGAGCGGCTCACGAGCGGTCTCTTCAAATCGACACTTACAATAACAGTCCCCCAGCACTACTCTCTAACTCTTAATCATTCAAATGTATTCTCGTATTTTTGAAACTGCTCAAATCTAGTAGTAAGTGAAGATATAGCATTATCAACAACAAACAAGAAGTAAGTTAACTTGAATGCACTTTCTGCTGATTTTATCGGTTCGTCCATTGCATTTTCATCGAAAAACCTCTTTTTGGTACGAACTCGTGTTTCACGAAATTGGGGTTGAATATTTAATTCAATCGCCAATTTTTCAGCTTCAACTTTGGCTTTCTCAAATCCATCTTCTCTATAATCTTTAAAATATGCAATCAGACCTTTCAAGAGAGTAATGGCTGAACTGATGATCATATCTTTCTGTTGGAGGACTTTGCTAACTTTGTTTACCTTGTTGAGTATCTCGTACCAGATTACCATAGCAACAAGGAAATCAAAGTTCATTTCATACTCACATATGGACTTTGCATCACTCACAGTGCTAGGATCGTTACTACATTTGGTCAAGTGCTCTAATGCTTGTTGTATCTGCGGCCCTTGAAACCTTATAGCTCTAACACTAGCAACACGACTTTCCCAACGTGTATCTGACCATGATTTAAGAGTGAGACCATTTCCATCACCATCTTTAAGGTACATCTTCAGAACCTCCCATCGTTTGGTTGAACCTAAATTCAAAGATATTTAATTATAAAAAGAGTATTGTTAAAGTTAATTAGTAATAAAATAAAAGTAATAAAAACTACTGAAATGAAGTTAAAAAATTACGATCATACCTGAAAATAATTTATAGATGCGTTGCACCACACCAAAAAATGTTTTTGCTTGTACACAACTCATAGCCATATCACAAAGGGCGAGGTTTAAAGAATGGCAACCACAAGGAGTATAAAATGCTCTAGGATATTCTCGTAACACCCTAGCTTGTACCCCTTTGTTATCTCCCTTCATGTTTGAGCCATTGTCATAACCTTGTCCCCTTACATTATTAAAGTCAAGTTCATGAGTGTCAAGCAATTTTTTAAGTTCGTCAAATAGGGCTTCACCTGTTGTCTCAATGACTTTAACAAATGTGATGAAAAACTCCTCAACTCTTATAGGGCTTGTAGACACATCTATACATCGAATCACAAGTGTCATTTGCTCATCATGACTAACATCCGGTGTGCAATCAAGAATAACAGAGAAGTACTTTGCACTACGAACAACTTGAAGGATTTTTTTTTTACTTCATTTGACAAAAGTTGTATCATCTCATTTTGTATATTATGACCAAGATAATGATTTCGGATCTCTTTCTTCCGTATTCTCCTGAGATGCTCTTCCATTATAGGATCAAACTCTGCAATCATGTTAATAATGCTCAAGAAATTTCCATTATTTTCATCAGAAAGCTTCTCCTTATGGCCACGGAAAGCTATGTTGCAAGTAGCAAGAGTCTTGACAACAATCATAATCCTCTTTAAAACAGCTCTCCAATACTCCTTCTCTTTATTGATAGCTATTTCTCGGGAAGCATCAATTGTTACCTTTTTTTTTAACCTCATTTCCGCTTCCCTCCATGCTTCCATGCTAAGGATATGATCAAAGCTCTTTTCATGCTCTACAAGTCTACAATGTATGTTGTGCCAATCACTATAGCCTTGACCCACACTTGTTAGAGGGTTTAGCAGCACACTTTTTTTGAATAAAACACAACAAAAGCAAAAGACTTTATCTTTTATCAAAGAGTAAACCAACCATGGTCTATCATATCTCTCTCCATTTCCCAAGCATCGAGTATAGAGTTTGTCATTGAAACTCCTTTTCCTATCAACGGGATATTGAAGACCACTTATTCTTATAGGACCTCTCTCTACCAACAAATCTAGTTGGCTTTGAGATATGGGTGCTTTCCAATTTCCCGGGTCAAAGAAATCATCTAATATCTCGGGCATAGTGACTTCACCTACAATCTCTTCCTCATCAACAATTACACTGTCCGTATGAGCATTAACATTCTCATTCTCCTCTCCAATATTTGCACTATTATTCTCATTCTCAGAGACAGGGATTGTATTGTCATTGTCAACAATATTTGAGGAAGAAGGATTTGTCTTTACAAATCGATCTATAGAGCCGGCAAACGACTGTATAACCAAATCTTTCCGCAACCTATTCTTTCTTTTTGTAGACCCCGATTCAAATTTCCGCTTACCCGTCATACTAAAGACGCTCCTAAAGACAATATTCATAGATAATACAAAGTAACAAAAATCACAAATTAATTAACAAAAAACGTAAAACTTTTATTCTTCTAAATACAATGACAAATTAAACAAAATAACTACTTTACTATCAAATAGACTACTTGTCTGCCACTTTATCTTAGCATTTACTACGTATTACTTAATTTACTTTAGGTCGGTGGGTTGGCCCCTTTACAGCCCAAGTTCCTTTATGGCTTTATGCTTTAGAAATTTCAGATTATAACACATGTATTTCATTACTAAGGATAGAAATTATAGAAATAAGAGAGCAATTTGAGCAAACTTACCTTACTCACGGAGTCGGCAAGGCAGCGACTAGCAGACCCAGCACTCGAGCAGCAGCAGGCCAGCAGTTCAGAACAGGTGATTTCTTCAAGTTGTCGACAAATCGGAATTCGGAAGTTTGGCGGAAGGGCAGATACTTGGAGATTTCAGAGTTGGGGGCCTGTAGCCGTATGCGTAAATTAGACTCCACCGCTCCACATCCACGGCCCAGATGGAGATTTCAGAATCCAGATAACTAATTTATTATTTCTATTATTATTATACATATAATTGGGGATTAATAGGCAATACTAATAGGTAATTTTTTTTTTTTTGAGGCCCTCTTGGAATGTGAAGCCCAAGGCACTTGCCTGGCCCAACTCCCCCTAAGGCCGCCTCTGTCACGTATGGTTTCTATCTCATAATTTGATGTTAAAATTAGATTTCAGGAGATTATGATTGGATTTTTTTTGTTGAAACCAGAACTAGTGGCGTTCAACTTTTATATTATTGGAATCGTTTCATGAATGTTGTTTGTAGGCACTGATGTTCGATTTTTATTATCCTTAGTTTTATATACTCCCTCCGTCCCGAAAACAACTTCCCGGTTGGACTTTCACACACTTTTAGGAAATAAATTTGACTTAATGTAGAGTGCACTGTTTAACACTGTTTAAACACTGTTTGGCACTGTTTAAACACTGTTTGGCACTGTTTATCACTTTTTTGATGTAGATAATTTGCCAAATAAGAAAAGTATTGAAGTGTGAAGTTAATTTTGGGACATCCATTTAAGGAAAGTGGAAAGTTGTTTTTGGGACGGAGGGAGTATTTCATAGTGGCGTTAAAAAATCTTCTCTTTTTGACTCCCTTAGTTTTATATATCCTTAGTTCAGGTATTCATCTATTATCCAGGTTTGTTATTTTTAATATATGATTTTATTTACATTCTTTTTTAATTTACTTTATCTATTTACTTGTGCCAGTTTATATATATTTTATGTGTATGTTTATGACAATAATCTCATCATTTTATTCAATTTTTGTAGATTTCTATATCGTTTCGGATGTTGTGTGTAACTTGAGATTTGTTAGAATTTGATCTATTATGCAATTAATGGTTTCAGCTACTTGGTTTAGTTTTTCAGACTTATTTTGATTTTGATTAATTGATTACTAGTAACACAAAAATTAATTTATGGCACATCCTATTTACTTAAGGTGGTGATCCAATAAATTATCTACTTAATCTATTTATATCAACAAGATTTTTATCAACATAGTTAAGCATACCAAGGAGGGGCCAAACTATAAACCCTTCTCCAGTTAATACCTTCCAATAAACCAAATGAATAATGCCACACAAACATGTTAGTTTTGAACCTTCACAAACTATAAACCTTCACTGATATATATGGAGCAGAATCTGCGCTTGGAAGAAGAGGGGAAGAAGCCCCCGTGGGTTTACCGAAGGCGGGACGGGCTTGAGCCTACCTCCGTGGGCTGATTGCGGGCTGTTTAATTAATATTTATTCTTTTTACTTTTCCTGATTTGTTTCCTTTTGGAGTTAATTAGGATTTCTAACATTTGTTTCCTATTAGGAGTTAATTAGGTTTCTATTATTTCTTTCCTATTTGAAGTTGATTAGGATCTTTATTATTTTGTTTCCTAGTTGGAGTTGATTAGGATCTCTAGGATTTTGTTTCCTAGTTTAAGAGTTAGTAGATGAGTATTTAAACCCCTTATTAGGATTCATTCTTGCTCATCTGGGAATAAAAATTGGTTTAGCCTTTTGGCTCTGAGCAACGGTATTTATTTATCGTTGATTATGTGGGCAAACGGTTCACCCTGTTAATTTTATTTTTCTGTTCTTATCATTCACACTTCTGACTTATAAAATGTAAGGTGTTATCATCCATAGAAAGCAAATTTTCCGCTTTTAACCATGCAATCAAAATTTAGAGTATAATAAAAAGACACTAAAAAATTAAAGAAAAACTATTTGTCAAAACTTATCTAGTGAAATTAAGACATATAGGTTGACAAAAGAAAAAATCCTTTTGATATATCTTTTATATCCTAGGACATCAAATATACAGCTACCCGTTTTATGCTCACCCCTACATATGCCCATGTTACATATGAGAGAAGTCCGGTTCCATTAAGTAATATATTGTATGTTTAACATATGAAGTAATTAGCACCTAAAACTAGTGTTGCAGGGTTGATACTCAGAGCTTTTCAATCTTTCATTACTGCTTTTCCATCTTTCGTCGATCTCTTCTAGTATTTGTCTGACTCTCACTTACCCCAGTTCCTTAATATTCATCATCCTCAGTCATTTTATTGAATTCCATTTGGAACTTTAGAAAATCAGATTTAATATCAGCAAGAGAGCTTTGGAGATATCAGGTCTTGTAGGAGCAAACAAAAGTGTATCTGTATTTTCTTTGACTTGATCCTTAGCACTTTTCTGCCCATCGTCATGACTCACACCAGATTCTTTAAGTCCCTCAATCCTGGAATTCTTGTTTGAATAAGACTGCAAAGTAGAGCCTATGTCTCTCACTGCCTCCGTTGGATCTTGAGCAGCACCTTGCCCGATACCGATGCCTCTTCTTGCCTCTATTCGATCTAAAGTCTGCATATCTTGGGTATGTAGTAGCTTGCACACTGTCATTCTCTTTGTCAAATGAATCTGCACTCTTTCAATCAAAGAATGCTCTCTGGCACCTTTTAATTTTAAAGGAACCTGCAAATTATTCTCCTTTTTCCAATAACATACTAACTCCTTGTGACCTACATGATTACAAAAACCACAATATTTGACTCCTCCATGCTTCACATCATCTTCATAAAAACTTTTTGATTGACTAGAAACCTATCATAGCCTATATTGACAAATTCTACCTTTAATTTCAAAAGATCAACTTTGACACAAATTCTAGCCAAATTTGGCCTTGGCTTAGCACAAGTATAATTATCCACTTTCAAAGGTTTCCCAATCACCGAAGCTATATAAAAAAGTATTAATATTAATCATATAATGTTGAACGAGCCTTGAACAAAAATTATACTTCAAAGGTACATGTGAGTTTTGTTCTTATGTTATGTTTTTGTTGTTGTTGTGCAGTTTTTTATGCAGTTTATAATAGTTTTGATTTAGTCTCTTATTCACTTCCTTTGATGAGAACTTGGGTTTAATTATGTATTAAAAATAAGCTAGATTTGTGTCACGTTTTTCTTATTTGCTTTTCTATTTTGTCTACTCTATTGAACTTTAAGGTAATGGAGGGAGACAGAACTTGGATGTATACACGTAGACTTTCATTAGAATTCAAGACTGGTTTGGCTAGTTTCCTCGACAAAGCTTTTGCTAAAGTTGCCCGTGGGGGTCAAATTCCTTGTCCATGCAAAGAATGTAAAAGTCATAATTGGTATCGTAGAGATGAAGTGTGGAATCATGTGATCGCGAAGGGATTTGTAGAAAATTATTTGAAGTGGAATTTTCACAGAGAGGGACCTATGTTTGTTGGTCATACGAGTCTTGAGAATGAAAATGATACAGTTATGCCTGGCAACATCAATGGCCTCTCGTAACTTGATAGTAGTAGTCCATAGTCTACTTTTATAGGATTTGTTCCTTTGTGGAAAAGTTGGTAGAAATTCTATCCCACCTACTTCGGACTTCTTATTACTCGGGGGACTTTGAATCGCTTTTAAAAAGGTATGTACACGTAAGGTAAAACTCCGGTTTGTATTGGTGGTTTAGGTGGGGGTGAGGATACCAGATGGGTCGTTGATGGCATGTGACCAATGTATTTGACCCTGTATTTGCTTGGTTTGGGAATTCTTCGGAGTACTTCCTCATCTCTTTAAGGAATTTAGATGATTGGATTGTAAATGGGTTTTAGTGGTAATTCTTCTCGATTTAAACGATTTGAAATGTGGTAGAATTTATGGTTACTTATGGTTTTTTTTTTTGAAAGGAAAACTGCTTATATTAATATCATTAGGGTTCGGATCGTTACATCAAACTCAAAGACATCCATATGGACAACCACACCTTGTAACCCACTATCACTATCAACCCTACGGCTAGGGTTGTAAACGAATTAAATAATTTATATTCGATTCGCGATTCGAATTCGTATAAGATGATTCAAATTCGGAAAATTCAAATACAAATACAAATAAGAATATTAAATTTGATTCGAGTTGTTATCAAATACAAATAAGAATATCAGTGTATTCGATTCGAATATTAATCAAATATATTCAATTAATAATAATGGTAATACTAATATCAATATTAATAATAATAATAGAAATAACACTATAATAACTTTTAAAAGATAGCAACACCCTCAAAGTGTAGGCAATATATACATTTTCGCATATAGATTCCAAGCCCATTCGTAATAACGAGAATATAAATACGAATACAAAATCATTTTTTGGTTCAAATGTCTTTCAAATACAATACAAATAATTATGTATTTGATTTGAAGAATAAAATTATAGTTGTTTGACTTTGATATATACAATTATCAACTTATTTCGTACATTATAAGTATAATTTCTAATATGTGTGTGTTAGTGTTTATTTCAAAAGGTTTGAAATAGATTTATATTTATTAATCATAAAATTAATTCACTTTAGTATATTGTGCACCATCTAAAAGTGCAATGATCCATTAAATTTAAATTCTAAAAACACATATTAAGTCATAGCATGCATTTACAACATAAAAATACGGAGTATAAGAAAAGTTATTTTAAAGTGATATTTGACTAATATTTAACCTTTGCTCAAATCGATTCGATATTCGTATATGATTCGTTAACTATTCGTATTGTTAAACAAATACAAATACAAATCGAAATTAATATTCGTTTCATATTTGAATTCGAATTCGTATTCGAAAAAATTAAACAAATACAAATACAAAATCTCATTATTCGACTCGATTCGATTCGTTTACAACCCTACCTACGGCTAGACATAGAAACGACCATCCTTGAAAGAGCGATACGAATCGCTAACCACCAAACGGGTATCCAGTACTCACTGGCTATATCGATCCTTATAACAATACAATATCTAGCAGAATCGTCCCTCCTTATTTTAGTCCTAAAACTAAAGAGATTACTAAAAAACAGAACTACGTAAAATAGCAAAACACGAAAAGGAAAAACCAAATTGGACTGAAAATAACAAGTAATAACTAATGAAACATTCTTCCAAACCCTACTCGCGCAATTCCTCCGTGGCGGCGGTTCAGGAGGGGGGCGAAGCTTCCTCATGTCATCTTCTTCCTCCACCACCTGAGGCGACCAAATCAGGTGTGCCAATCCCTCGACCACCTTATTAGATTTCAAATTTGCCCCTTCCATGAATCGCCAAATCTCCGGTGTTCCACCTGGATCAAACACCACCAATGATCCACTCGGAACCACCACTGGTGATGGCACATTCGTCCCAGCCGACAACAAGGCCAAAACAGCCAGAACAAGCATATGAAAATCAAACCTGGCAATCCTAGCGGACACAGATCTGCAACGACCTTCAACTACGTTGAACGCTATTGACATTATTAGCATTAAGAGAAGATGACCCAGGCCCCAAGCTCCAACCGGCAGGGTGAAACTACCCCACCCGACTATTGCTCTCTTCTACTGCCGGGTAATCAAAAGGAGAACAAAACTGAATTAAAGAAGAAATCAGAGCAAAACTTCTGCCACAAAAACGATCCGCACATATGGCGGCACAAAAACCCTACATAGCGTAGGCTCTTCCGCTCTTCCACCAAACAAACTCTATTAGACAAAGGTTTTTGCAAAAGTTGTCAATACAGGTTGTTTTGGAAAATCCGAGTTTTATTCAAAAAATCTGATTTTTTGATCTTTTAAAGAGTTGGGGATTGCTTAAGAATTTATGATATTGTTATGTGAAGATAAATTACTTTTGAAATAAAGACGAAGAAATACATTTCCGAAAATCATACTATTACTTAGTTTTTGAGTTGGCACTACAAACTAGTACTCACGCGCTAAAAACTATATATTCATTACAAACGAGACAATGAAACTGTACAGGACCGGTTTGGGACAAAATTGTCCCAAACGGAATGAGACAATGCGATCAAGATTCTTGCCCACCCCTAGTAGTAAAAAATCTTCCTGAGTCTTCTTCTATTGTAACTTTGTAAGACTGTAAGTACGTAGTATCTTTCATTTCTAACTAGGGAAAAGTTCATAATGACGCCATTATCACAAGCTTAGTATGTACAGACATTACATTGTATCAACCGAACTGTTATTGACTATTTTACCTTTTTGGGTAAAACTGTTGTGGTGGATTATCCTGTTTAGGAATAAGCTGAGAGACAAGCATAAGGCAATGTCAGGACTTCAATTTATTGCCTGGAAAGCCCTTTCTGCTGATATTCTTGGTTGTAAGGGGATGTGTGATGTGTACTTCCGATCCATATACGCATGCTAATAAATACAGAGTATGAGAATAATGGTGTTTTGTTTTTTTCTAATATTCTTATTGGCCCCATTTCAAGAGTAGTCTCTTTTCCACCATGGTTCTCATTTAATAAACCTACTTTTGCTCATCTTTAATTGTGTTGGATCATTGCTAAACCGCCTAAACGCCGATAGACATGTAGTTATACTTTTGACAATTGACGTTAAATAGAAATTGACATTTTCATTGATCCAAAGTATATGCTAATGCTACAAACCAGATTTAAACATTAATAATATTCATTTGATCACTATTTCGAATATTGTGCTTGGATTGAAATTTTCTGATGTGATGTGATGTGATATGGTCTGGTATACCAGATGTTTGATTTCTGTGTATTTTACAATTGTCGAAATCTAATTTGACCTGGTCTGGTATGTTGAAGTCTGATCGGTAACATGTATCAGAAGAGGTCAATACTCATGGTTACCCCAACTTTCTTGCACATAAGTAGATATTCGACCATGTAGTAGTGTTCCCTTGGAGCCATTTGACAATACAAGCCAACCTAGTTGAAGTAGTCCATAGTAAACGACTAGTAGAGAGCGAAACCCGAGCTCGAGCGCATGAAGTTTATACTTGGTTGAAATTAAGTACTCCAACGTTACATTGTGATGGTAGAACGGATCGCAGCCATGACCCAAGAATGAATTAAGCGAAGCCCATTACTCGGGATTAATGATTAAAGCCATTGGGCCTGTTAGGAACTCGACCCGCGAAAGGAACCCACAACCATGCCGGTCTGGACAGCAGACCTTGAGCTTGAGTGGGATTCTAGCGAGGCCGGACTCATCCTAAGGCTTACGTGGCAAGCAGACATCTGGAGGCAGCAGGCAGACATCTAAGGGATAATGATTGCGCAATAGTAAGGACGTTACGAGACTGTTATTATAACCGAATGTATTAAATGTATCAGTTTCCTGCTAAACTACTTTAACCTAAGGTCTATAAATATTTCATGTACATATCCTAAAAGGAATCCGTTCTATGGAATAATAAAATTTAATTACGCTGCCTAAATTTCACCTTCTCTCGTAGATTAGCTTTCGTAGTTGGAATTAAACTCTATCACATTGTATGGTTTACATCCAACACTCCTCATTGTCTCATTGACATCATCATGCACAAATATCAGGGCTGGCGTCACTATACCCAATTTGAACATCATGCTTATCTCTTTAGGTGGATCCCCAAGCTAGGAAAAGGACATGTATCATTCTTGTATTAGTTTATAGCTTCGCTTATTTCTCTAGTTATCTACATACTATAAATACCACCTTCTAGCATGTGTAAACATGCATGTTCTCACTTTGAAATTTATATTCTCTCTGCCGATATAAGTACTCACTTTCTCTCTCTAAAGCTTACTACTCACTTTACTCTTAGCTCACTCTTCTACCCCATGATCTTTAATTAATTTATTATTACCTCCGCCCAACTATCATTGGGACATGAGGAGGTGATCACTGCAGTTATTATGAAAAATTGACTTGTGTAATTGATATTAAATTGATGAAATAAGAATAAAGTAAGAATGATTTAGAATCACGTATACTTTATCAAACTTAATTGGTTTGAGACAATCTTAATGGGATGGACAATTTAAATTGATATGGAACAATTTTAGCAGGACAGAGAACATAAGTTAGCCATTGCAGCTCAAAATTGAATAGAATCATTTTCGTTACAATTATGACCATGTTCACTGCATATTTATACCACCATTTTTATTCATTTATCTTTATTTTAATCTTATACTTGTCGTTATTTTATACTCACGGAGTATATACTATTGTATTTGTAATATTATTCAAACACCACTAATATTACATTCTGGCTTCATCCCAGTTCGTGATTCTTTTCCTTCTATTAATATTTAATGAAGAATTTTTCCATCACTAAATTTTCGTGCTCATGTGCCGTTTTTTCGTGGTTGTATATATAGGGAAAATTCCTGGAATATGAGAAGAAACAGTTAGAAATTCCAAAATTGGAGTAGTATGTTTTTATTCCTTAAGTTTGAATAATTGCTGCTAAGCTTGAAAAATATTGTAGGTCTAAAGTTTGGTATTTCCAAAATATGTCAATAATTACTCCAATTTAGGGAATAAAAAAATTGAAGTACTATTTTGGAATTTATAAACACTTTTACTTCTGGCCTATTTAGGGCTACTTCTTTTATATAATATAGGGTTATCAGTTATAGTTATTAATGCATTCTGAAGTACAGTAATGTAATGTAATTATTATGCTAGAATCAAAAAATAAAACAGACTTAGATTTTAACGGTTTAACATTGATTTCTGCAAAGGGCGTGATTTGGCCTTTCTTAATTATGAATATTACTAAAAAATACATACAAAAGACAGATATATATGACTTGTATTTAATGTCTGTAAGTGATCGAACAAAGAATCATGTCACGAGCTCACAAATATCTTATAGATGTACAAAATAAATATCAAATGACATGATCGATTCAAAAGTCAAATAAAATTAGTGTGTAGTTGTATTCACTTATATATCCTTTCCATATAGTTCAACTACACAATTTTTAACTTTCTTAACTTATTTCTTACTGAATTCAAAGTCGATAATCTCTAATGAGACAGATGTATTATATATTTTAGAATATTATAAATTTATATATGTGTGTGTTCAAAAAAGAAAGTATTTATATTCAACCTCTATGATGAAAATTTAAAATATTTTAAAGAGATATTATCCAAAATGGGACTAAAAAAGTTTGGAAATTCCAAAATAGGACTTCCATGTTTTTATTCCCAAAATAGGACTAATTACTGTCATGTTTTGGCAGTACCAGACTTCAAACATGGCAGTATTTTCCAACTTTGGCAGTAATTAGTCCCATTTTGGGAATAAAAACATGACAGTCCTATTTTGGAATTTTCAAACTTTTTTAGTCCCATTTCGGGAACTTTCCCTATTTTAAACTAAAACAAATATCAAATAATATCATTGAATATGTAATCAAAATGCTTACTAAGTATTATAATTATGTGATTATTATGAAGAATAATTTTCTCCACTCTTAGTCCTATAGACTGTTATATTTTTATTACTACAAAATTTATAAAGGTTCACCGGGTTTTCCAGCATTGACCAAGTTGACCTGCCAGCGGGTCCGGGTTGACTCGTGATCCAGTTATCCTCCCAGATCACTTCTCGGTCCGGTTTTTACAACATAGCAACAAACTCGTCATTGCCCCCACATTGGCTCGCCAACTTGATCATTGTCCCAATAGCTCTGTCCCTACCACACCAACCTTGTAGGGAGGTGACTAACCTAACAACATTGTCACTACCCAGGTGGCACCATCGAGTAAATATGATGGAGTATATTAGTTGCCCATACACCCCAACAACCGTAGTCATGTATCAACTAGGCTGAGGCCCTGCGCCGAGGACGAGATCTCGTCATTAGTCTAGCTCCGCGTTGGCAGGCTTGTTTCGCTCCGAAGTGAGTTACTCCAGTGAGGCTGAGCTCAGTGGCTGCTACTGTTGATATCTCATGGACGATACTCGAAGAGGGCGAGGGGACCTGATCCACCTCGATTCAGTGATGGTTTGACACTTCACCGTTCCTCGGACGTTCCAACAAGACGCACATTTAGGATGTTTTCTTTTGGACTGAAATTTGTTGGTCTGGTCTGGTCTGGTCTGTTTAAGTCTGGTCTGGTCTGGTCTGGTCTGGTCTGGTCTGAATTGGTCTGGTCTGGTAAACGTCTGGTCTCTGTGTATTTTATAACTACGGAAGTCTGGTTTGGTTTGGTCTGGTCTGTTTAAGTCTGGTCTAGTCTGGTCTGTTTATGTCTGGTCTGGTCTGGTCTGGTCTGTTTAAGTCTGGTCTGGTCTGGTCTGGGACTGAAAACAGTCCAAAAGAAAACATCTTTAAAGGCTTACGTTACTTAGGCTTCCGCTCACGTCACATGCTTAGTTTGTGAAAGGGCTTACATCATCAATGACATCATATGCATGAGTCTGTTGCTAGGGATGACATCATCACACCTCAATGTGACATCAATATGCTTGTTTCCCAAGCATTGCGGGGAGACATGTAGCATTAGGACTGGCTTAGCTTCTTCGGGCTTAAGCCCAACCCTTGTACTTTGCATCTAAATACAAACCTTTTCCCGTTTGAAAAGGGCTCGAAAAATATGTACATTTATTTTGCCAAAATATTTTTCACGGCTTTCTCCGTCTACTTTTGCTTTAACTTTTCTCTAGAATTACCATCCCGAGCTCCATACTCATAAAAAAAACCATGTCCCAATCCCCCGTCTACCATCACACATTAGAAAACAACCCTCACCGGGTGGCGTCAACCGCCGACAAAAACAAACTCCGATCACCGCGAAGCAACCATAATCAGTTTGAATATGAAAATCGTGATTTTGAAGACACGGACCAAAGAGTAACCCTACCCTAAATACTACCTACCACCGCTCACCGGACAACTGAATTGCCACCTACCTCAGGACAACAACCCTAACCCATCTATATCTAGCGTTGTTGGGGAAAACACGACCCTAGACCTCTTCCAGGATCACGTGCTCATAGGACTCTTGTACACTCACCCACACACTCATAATACAAAGGCTCTATCTGACAATAACACTTTGTATTATACAATTGAAATGTACAAGAGATATTTTACAAGTAAACATGTGGCTCACATCTAGAGAATTCTAGACATCTCCGCAGTATTCTAGAATTCTCATTAACTTCTCAATTAAGGAGGGAAAGCAACAAGCATCGCACCCAATTATAGTGCATGCAGAAACCCTAGCTAACCCAAACGCCCCCATCCAATTCAAGTCGCGACCTAATAGAAGCACGAGAAGAGGAAGAAGAGACAGAAGAGAGATCAATATATGTATAGTCGAGCGATTGTGTGGAAGATGGTGGCCGCGGGAAAAGGAGTCGACCTTAACTTTGAATATTCAAGCAATGCAAAGTGAATGGAGA